GAGAGAGAGAGAGAGAGAGAGAGAGAGAGAGAGAGAGAGGAAATCGTGTGAGAGAGAGAAGAAACCGTGTGCTGACACTATCGGACCGAAGAAACCGCCCTTATCAACGGGCAACATGAATCCGGAAGCGGGGCGACATGCACAAAGGACAAAAAATATAGCGGTGTATCTTTCCATGTTCTGGCGGAATACTCATTCATACGTTGGGTGGTGGAGAACGAAGGGCCGATGAATCCGGTAAGCACGTAATGTATCTCTGGAAACGTTTTTTTTTTTTTTGGAGAATCTCTGAAAAAACGAGACTGAATCCTCCGCTTGAACATGGAAAGATACATTGCCATATATGGGCTTCGCTGCACTACTCTGGAAATCTGCAAAACGAGAGTGAATCTTGTGTTAGAATATGGAAAGATACACCGCCAATATTTTTGTCTTTTGTGCATGTTGAGAGTAGTGCAGCGAGGCCCTATGTCTTGTTGTGCATGTCGAGAGTTGTGCAGTGAGCCCGTTGGTGAACATTACCGTTGAGGTTCTGACAGGTTGGACGCGCCGGGCTTCACTCGTGCAAAGAAATTCTGATGTTCTTCCTTAAAAAATAAAATTCAGCTCCCCCCGATTTTTTTTTTCCGGGGCCCCGCGCGGCCTCAAATTGTTTTTTTTTTTTTGTTTTGTTTCTTGACGCGACATCCCACTTGAGCCTACAACACCCCTCCCCAACCTTTTTTTTTTTTTGGCCGACCCCTTATTTTCGGGGTGCGCCGCACCCCGTGCACGCGCGTCGTGCGCGGTGCGACGCACGTGCGGGATGCCGCGCACGTCGATGCGCCGCAAGTATGATCAGAACAGATACTACACTTGATCTTCGCCAAAAGGCCGAGAAAGCTTTTTTTTTTATTTTTAATTTGGACCATTTCTCGATTTATGTTTGTCATCCTTGCGCAGGGGCCAATTGCTAATGTACCCTTCTCTGTATTGTTCCTTCGATTTTTAACGGATGTCCCAAAGGACATGCAGTAGTAGTTTGTTGAACTTTGTTCTATTGTTTTCTGTTGCGCTACTTTGCACGGTGTACATTTTGAGCATTCAAGTAGAGCACATTTTTCCTCGAAATTTACTTGCAGCAACTTTGCAGGTCTGTCTTCGGCAGACTTGGTCGACTGATGCAGTAAGATCCTACGGTCTTCACCCGAGTAGAACACGCAGTTTTCAAAAAAAAAAAAAAAAAAAAAAAAAAAGAACACGCGGTTTTCATTATCACTGTGTGTACAGTGAAAGCGGGTCCATTGGACTGTTCATCACCTCAAATACAGCCACAATCACCGCATGTTCTGTTCTATTGGGGTGACGAGTGTAGCAGTCAAAGCAGCCGAAGCCACCTCTCCCTTCTTGTGACTTACCCTGGTTAAAAGGGGCCCTCCACTTTTTTCAGTTGGTCCATCGGACAGCTGGTCCGGCAGAAGTTGGCCCAGGCCCAGTTTTGCCTTCTATCCACAGAAATTGGCCCAGGCCCAGAGGGTAGCTGCGCAAAGGGAGTGGTGATGTAAGAAATACTAAGAAATTACTAAATTAGTAAGAAATACTAAGAATGATTTTTTTTTTAATGCCCCCCCCCCCCCCCCCCTCTTTCCTTGCAGTTTCTGTATGTCTGTCTTCCACACTCAAGGCTGAGACGTTAACTTGGATAAAAAGTTAAAGACTGTCGGTCGACTGAGAACGTCCATACGTACACATCAGTCGAAGAAAAAGAAGGCTAAAAAGGACGTGTGTTTCCTTCGCCCATCATCGCCGGCTGCCAAGCTGCGATGGAGCAACATGCCAGAGATTGTGAGGATGGTGGGTGGGTGGGCGGTTAATGCATGGGAACTGTCGCCTGTTCGTAATTCACTGGGCCGTGGAAGTGGACCTGTTGCCTCTTGAATAAGGGTTAACGTTACCGTTAAACCGTTAAGGTAATTGGAAATAGGTGTTTCGTGTTCCAGTCCGAACTCGATGGTAAAGATCTGATAGTTGACTTGTGGAAGGTTAATCTGGAATAGGGGTTAAAGTTACCGTTAAACCGTTAAGGTAATTGATAGTTGACTTGTGGAAGGTTAATCTGGAATAGGGGTTGAAGTTACCGTTAATCCGTTAAGGTAATTGGAAATAGGTGTTTTCGTGTTCCAGTTTGAACTCGATGGTAAAGATTTGATAGTTGACTTGTGGAAGGTTAATCTGGAGTAGGGGTTAAAGTTACCGTTAAACCGTTAAGGTAATTGGAAATAGGTGTTTCGTTGTCCAGTCCGAACTCGATGGTAAAGATTTGATAGTTGACGTGTGGAAGGTTAATCCTTTCTGCTTCAGGGAAGTAAAAAGTAATCATCGATGTCTCTTGCTGAAGATAAAGTTGTGGCGATTAGGGAAGGAATCTGAGCATGACTCTTTCGGCCTTCGTGGGGACAGGTGTGATTATATGTAGATGTATGCGGACAATGCAATGTGAGCAGGGGGCACTGGGACCCTCTGAAGATGAAAAAGAACGAAAAAAAAAAAAAAGGTCAGGGTAGAAGGGTGATCAATTATTGATTCGCCCATCAGATGACAGATCACCGTAGCCGTGCACCATGCGTGTGCGTCATTCTTCTAGCCTCTTACTGTTCAGCGAATGCTACCGTCTTCACCCAAATAGAATGCCCGGTAGAAAGTTGCACTGAATGCAGCTATAATGACCGGGCGTCCTATTCGGGTGAAGACGGTAGTACTCTGCCTCAGAATTTCTCAGTATATCCAAGTCCAATCCCTGTGCTGTCTGTGAATGCGAGCTGAGCACTCCGTGGTTCCACCTCCCTGTGTGGGCCTCGCCACACCACTGTCGAAATGAAAAAAAGTACGACTGCATGTTCCCGCAGGGAGCGGCCCAAGGCATCCGTTACTATGAATAGTCAGGTATGCATCTTGCCACCTTCTGGGGAAGATGCACTCATACTTTTCCTTCTCGAGTTTTTTTCGACGGTGATGCCCTGTGTTGCGCTCACTCCTGAGTGTCAGTGTCCTTTCCCGATTGAAATGTCCTGTCCCGATTGTGGAGCGAAGTCTGCGCATGGTTCCCTCTCTTTTTTCCTGTTTCTTTCCCCTTTTATAAATGGGGCGATGGCCTTGAGATATAAACTTTGAAATTTGAATGGACCAGCCCCAGGTGATTCAGAAGTATATTTCGTTCGAGTCCATCTAGTTGCGGGTATGTGAACTCAGGTCTGTATGTAGACAGTTCATGGATGGAGCAACTGCACTACCTTCTTCCCCCAAATACAATGTACGCATTATTGTACGGTCATTATAGCTGAATTTGGTACATATTTCAGTCCGAATTCAGCTATAATGACCGTACGTTGTATTCGGGGGAAGAGTGTAGGCCAGTTGGCAGGTCGATCACATCCATACTACATCCACCTCAGCTGGTATATTTGAAAGGACCAGCCCCAGGTTCCTCCGGTTGGTTTCCTCCGGGTGGGTGTAACGCTATGCCGGGACTCATCCTGAGCGGTCCCAGCCGGATTCTGCTGGTCTGCAAAAAGCGGGGCTTGAAAAAAAAAAAAAAAACCCTCTGAGATTTGCACCCGGCTTTTTGGGAGCACCATCGAGAGAAGCTGGAAAACGTACGTGCTATATGCAGCACGCACGTTTTCCTGCTTCTCTCGATGGTGTTCCCAAAAAGCCGGGTGCAAATCTCAGAGGAGTTTGGCCCGCTTTTTTTTTTTCAAGCCCCGCTTTTTTTTTTTCTTTTTTTCTTTTTTTTCTGGGCCCAGTGCCCAAGGCAGTACCTGGAAAAGTTCCAAGTAACCAGAGGGGAGGTTGGCCTCAAATCGTCACCTCAGGCTGACATCCCCCCCCACCCCCTTCTCCTCTTGTACGAAGTGAAAAGGGCCCAGCGTCTGAAACCTCAAGGGGCTGCACTGGCATGGATGACGATTCAAACGGCAAGAAAAAGAGGCGCTATGAAATTTAACCCCACCCCCCCCCGCCCCCCCCCAAAAAAAAGCTACCCTGAGAACCGGGGCTCTATGTTGGGCATTGTCGGTCGCATATTCATCCCTTGTTTCTTTTGGGTGCACATGAAAGGGTGGGTGACTTTATAGAGGGGAGTCAAGTGGGACAGGAGAACACAGAGGTAGGGCAGGTGACAAAGCAAAGGTGTGGGAAGGAGCAAAATGTAGGGAGACAAGGAGAGTGGAATAGGGGAGTTGTACAGGGAAGGACCGGGGGGACATTGCAGTGTACGTTGTGTCCTTCTGCCCACCCATCTCCCCATATGTTCCATTCACAGATTTTATTTATCTTATTTATGTTATTTTATTGTATTCCATGTATCTTTTGGTAGCAGGGGACTAACGTTTCCGCACTCCTGACTTAAACCACCAGCACTTCCTAACAGTCGTGCCCGTTAACAAGCCACTATCTTAGGAAACGTACGGGCCACTATAGGAGCGCCCAGATTCGTCCGACTAGAAACGTTTCTACTCTATTTTTTTCCACGGCCGGTAGCTGGGCCAAGTACCAGTGGTTTAATACATGTCATTGATTTTCCATCCAACTCAGTGCCGTCCTTCTTCCGTGCAAAGGCTCGAACTGCCTGGTGCATGATTTCCCTCAGGTAGCCCAGGTAACTTGGCTTCCAGCTCGAACAGTTCTATGACTTGTACTTCTTTTATGGTATCCTACTATCCACCTTGTATGACGTATTTGCTGCTATATCTCTGTGCGTTGTACCGAGAGCACCTTCAAGGCCTTGTCGTGCATTGAGAACCTTGTTTGCCACAGCACTGCCGCAGCATTTGGATCATCCCCAAGAAGGAGAAATTGCATTACTCGCTCGCTCAACAATATGTGCTCCCTAAAATAAATTAAAAAAAAAAACAAAAACAAACAAACAAACAAACAAACAAACAAACAAACAAACAAACAAACAAACAAACAAACAATATGTGCTCCCAAACAATATGTGCTCCCTTGGATGCTGGATCTGCTGATGACGTTATCTGTATGTCTTGTCCTCGCACGCTGATTTAATGCAGATGGCGCTGGAGGACAAGGCAACATGGACTCTCGATAGTTTTGAAGCGAAATTGCGTGCAGCACTTGACCCATATCCAACTCAGTCAGATTAACATTGACGTGTCAGCTTGATGTGAACAATCATCGTTCTGTATTCTTTTTCTTCTACCCTATGGGATTTTCAATCATTTCATGCATTTGCCACTCATATTGGGAAGCTTTCATATTGCGCTTCGGAAGTCCCCTGATGATGACCTCGTTCTGGCGACGGGGCCGAAACCGGTAGGGACACACGCCAGGAAGTTTTCAGCGCTTTTTGTATATTTTATGAAGAAAGCTACATTGCACTATCTCTCGCATTGCTGCTTCTTTATTCTTTCTCTGTGTGTGTGTGTGTGTGTGTGTGTGTGTGTGTGTGTGTGTGTGTGTGTGTGTGTGTGTGCAATGATTTGAGCTGCTATTGCGTGGCTTGGGCTTTTCAGGTGTGAAGTGAGTGTCGTTGCTGGAGGAGTTGGTTTCACTGTCGTTGGCAGGGCTCGTCCCTTGCTTTGAGCTGCGCGCTTGATGCGTTGCACTCTTCTCTTCGACCACTCATTTTGGGAAGGACACCCAGTAATGGCCCATGAGAGCTACACTGCCCATGATTTAGACACAGTTGATATGAGCATGAGACTTTGGAGGGGGTTGGGGGGGAGGGGGGTGCTCAGCCATACATTTGGGTTGGGGAGTGAATTAGTGAAGGCAACCTTTGATTATTACTGCATGGAACAGATCGTGCATTTGGGTTGGGAAGGGGATAAGTGGAGCGCCATTTAACTCTGGGGCCCGGTCACTGCGGTCAGGGGTCGATGAAAAATTTGGACCATTTCTCGATTTATGCGTGCCATCCTTGAAAGCGCCGGGGCCATGCTAATCTTCTCTCTATGTATCGTTCCAATTTTGACGGATGTCCCGAAGGACGACTGGGTCATGAATCTATGATGCAATGACAGCAAGCAATGCCAGAGTAGCGTACACAATGAAGGGGGGGAAAATGAACAAACAGAGCCCCGAGGCTCTGGTCCTTTTTTTTTTTTCAGGCTATGGCCCTTTCAAGGGAAGGGGAAGAGGGGAAAAAAAAAGGGAAATTTTTGAAATACCCCTAAAACTTGGGTTATTTCGTTAGATACCCCTAAAAGACAGGGGTATGCTGAAATGCCCTCAACTTTTAGCATCTGCCCCTGTCCCGGTCATTGGCAACTTCTCCGTATGCCCTGGCCCCAGGCTAGCAGGGCCGGCGCATTTTCTGTGCCATCTACAGGGTCCAACAGCCATCTGCAGGGTCCAACAGCCATAAATACTGGGGCATATAGATAAGTTGCCCAGGGTGCGGTAGGGGTATATGCAAAAGGATGACAGGTCCAATTGGCGAGTGGGGTATTTTGCGATGTTTCGCAATTGTCATAAGGGCATTTTGCCATACCCATGCCTTTTAGGGGTATCTGATGGACGGAATACCCCAGCTTTCAGGGGCATTTGAACAATTTGTAATAATTGACCTTTTTTTTTTCCTTCTTCTTTTTCCTTTTGTGAAAAGGGCTACGGCCTTGAGATATTATCATGCAACTGACCGTCCCTAGATAATTTAGAATTGTAATATTTCACTCGTCTGCTTCCAGTGGAGTTCGAACTCAGGTCTGTATTTCAATTTTTCAACAGCTCAGGGATGTAACAACTGAGCTACCTTCTTCCCCCGAATACAACGTACGGTCATTAAAGCTGTATCTAGACTGAAAGATGCCTCAAATACAGCTATAATGACCGTACGTTGTATTCGGGGGAAGAAGGTAGGCCAGATGGTGTAATTGACCTTTTTGACTTGTTGGTGGAATAGGAGCCGTACTGACGCCTCCCAAAATGGATGTGGAGCTAGGACCATAGCATAAGGACTTTTTTTTTTTCAAGGGAAAAAAAAGAAAAAGGAAGGAACCCTCATCTGCGATCATCCATCTGATAGATCAAACTTAGATAGGTTCATGTGGCGAATGCAAGTTTATGCAGTTTGCAGAAATGCTTTGCAGCTCTTTCGAAGTGCATTCTGGTGTAAACCCAAAACCCAAAACCCAAAACCCTAAACCCTAAACCCAAAACCCAAACTGGAAGTGCTGGAGTGAAAACCCCTTGTGAAGTTCCTTGACTCTGGATTGGTTCATGGTCCATTATACGTTGCCAGAATCCGTTGTTGCTTTCAAAAGCATCGCCGCCTACCGGAGTGGCTTGGACATTGAGCCGAATGTGAAGAGGGAGGACGCGGAAGCGGCCCTTGGGAACCTGCTTGGTGAGTGCCTGCAGATGCCAATAGGGAGATGGATTGAATGGTTGTCTCACTCTTGCTGGGGGTGAACTGATTCAGAAAGTAACTACTGTCTTCTTCCGAATAGAACACCTGGTCATTATCGCTGCATCTGCACTGAAAGTTGTGCCAAATGCAGCTATAATGACTGGGCGTTCTATTCGGGTCAAGACGGACGTAGGCGCTAAGAAACACAATAATTGTTCAGTTTCATTAACTTTCATGCAAATTTATGACAGTGGCAACAGCACGACTGCGTCCGAGGACCCAGGAGACGAGACAAGTGTTATCATAGCATTCATCATTGACTGTGTTTTGCCAGGTCCGAAGATTGATGTGGAAAGATGTACACGATGCTGGGAAACAGCCTTGTTTGGGCAGGGCTGGTAGCTCTATGCTGAACTCAGATATGGTTCTCTCTTCTGATATCGATATGTTACTCTCTTTGCGTGCTATATATATATATATATATCGTCACAAACAGAACTGCCCGGTAAACCGTAGGCAGAGAGAGAGAAGAGGACAACAAACGAGGGGCTGTGACAAACTGTTTCGTCGGAGTTTCACTCGTCAGGAGGCTGAACCCTCAACAGTCTGCAGAATCCCCTCACTGATTACACTGTAAATGATAATCTACCTTAACCAAAATCGAAGTAGACTATCACTCACCCACACCAGATGGAAAACTCTACAGACTGTATATATATA